GAGACCAGTCTGGGCAATATAGTGAAACCTGGTCTCTACAAAAAATACAAAAATTGGCCGGGTGCAGTTGCTCACACCAGTAATCCCAGCACTTTGGGAGGCCAAGGAAGGTAGATCACCTGAGGTCAGGAGTTCAAGACCAGTCTGGCCAACATGGTGAAAACCCATCTCTACTAAAAATACAAAAATCAGCTGGGCGCAGTGGCAGGTGTCTATAATCCCAGCTACTCAGGAGGCTGAGGCAGTAGAATCACTTGAACTTGGGAGGCAGATGTTGCAGTGAGCCGAGATCACACCACTGCACTCCAGCCCAGGCGACAGAGTGAGACTCTGTCTCAAAAAAAAAAAAAAAAAAATTAGCCGGGCATGGTGACATGCATGTGTAGTCCCAGTTACTCGGGAGGCTGAGGTGGGAGGATCAATTGAACCTGGGAGGTCAAGGCTGCAGTGATAGCACCACTGTGCTCCAGCTTGAGCACTAGAGGAAGACCTTGTCAAAAAAAAAAAAAAAAATTACCCACCATTGACACAGGCCTGTACTTCCAGCTACTCTGGAGGCTGAAGTGGGAGGATTGCTTGAGCCCAGGAGTTGGAGGCTGCAGTGAGCTATAATCACACAACTGCACTTCAGCCAGATAGACAGACTAAGGCTCTGTCTCGAAAAAAAAGAAAAAAAATTATTTCTTTAGCAATTCTGCTAGGCAGGCATCACAGTAGGACTGCTTCTGTGGTTCAAAAATTATCTTATCCTTCTGATTTAGTAGGTTTGGATAAGGCCCTGAAATTTTAAGTTTACATGGCAATTGCAAGGATGAACCAAGCTTTGTGAACTATTACCTCATATATCAAAACTAATTTGTTTGGGTCTTAGGAAAATAGCATTGGAGAATAATGGGAAAGTCATAGCCTTTGAACAGATTCCTTACTCTACAATATATTAGCCCCATGGCCTTGGAACGATTTCTTCATCTCTTGAGTCAAGGTTTCTCATTGGTAATATAGAAAAATCTGTGCTCCCAAGGTTATGACGCGCAAAGCATATTATCTAGCTGTGCGTGAGTAGAGTATGAAATTGATAATCCACTTAGACAATATAAGAAATAACTTTTAGGCATAATTGCAGTATCTAAGTTTGACAAAAAGTAAGCTTTAGTATACCAAAGGCAGTAACAGGTGCATAAACGTAAATATACATATAGTGGAAGTACCTACTACTTTACAGATGGGAAGATGATCAAAAGTTGAGATCATTATTCCATGCCATTTAAAACTTTAAATTTTAATTCCTCTCAAAATCAATATGGGACACAACTTTTAAAAGACATTATCAGACTAATTTATGGAGAATTAAACCTCGAAAATAAGTTTGATTACTAAGACAGCTGGTAGCTGTTAAGCTTAAGGGTTGGTAATCAATTCTAGTGTATGATTCTTTTTTTTTTTAAAGACAGGGTCTCATTCTGTCACCCAGATTGCAGTGTGGTGGCACAATCTCGGCTCACCACAGCCTTAACCTCCCCACCTCAGCCCCTCGAGTAGCTTTTTGTATTTTTTGTACAGACGGGGTTTTGCCATATTGCCCAGGCTGTCTCGATCCCCTCAAGAGATCTGCCCACCTCGGCCTCCCAAAGTGCTGGAATTACGAGCACAAGCCACTGCACCCAACCATTCTAGTGTAGCATTATTGGGTTTGAATCTGAAGTCTTCTCCCTAGCCGCTACAGCTACATCAAGCTATTTATCCTCTGCTGTGACTCAGTTTTGTTAAATTCAACACATGGCATACTAGGCACTTAAGTGCCATACATCATTTGGTACTACCCATTCCCCATACCACAGTGGGTATCACCAGAATTAATTGGAATAATGTGTATTAAATGCTTAGAATTAACAAAGTAGCAAAGGCTATAAAGGATCAAGTTTTAAAGAGTCTGGAGGTGGACTGTGTCTGAATCCTGGCTTTGCCACTTACCACTGAGCAACCTTGGTTATTAACCCCTTCTATGCCTTAGCTTTCTCATCTGCAAGATGAGAACAGTACCTATCTCATAAGGTTGTTGAAAGATTAAACCAGTTAATACATGAAAAGCACCTTCAACAGTAGCCAGCACCTAGAAAATGCTCCTGTTAGCTATTCAATCACACAGTGCTCACCCTGGAGAGAAGGCACTCAGCCAATGTTAGCTATCATATATATATACACACACATATATGTATAAATACCACATATATATGTGTGTGTGTGTGTATATATATATACTCTTTTTTCAAAAGAGTCTCACTATGTCACCCAGGTTGGAGTGCAGTGGTACAATCTTTGCTCACCACAACCTCTGCCTCCCAGGTTCAAGCCATTCTCCCGCCTCAACCGTTCAAGTAGCTGCAATTACTTGTCTTGGGTTTTTTTTGTTTTTTTTTTTTTTTTTTGAGACGGAGTTTCACTCTTTTAAAAATGAAATGAGCCAGGCGCGGTGGCTTATGCCTGTAATCCCAGCACTTTGGAAGGCCGAGGCGGGTGGATCATGAGTCAAGAGATGGAGACCATCCTAACACGGTGAAACCTGTCTCTACTAAAAATACAAAAAATTAGCAGGGCATGGTGGCAGGCGCCTGTAGCCCGGCGACTTGGGAAGCTGAGGCACGAGAATTGCTTGAACCTGGGAGGTGGAAATTGCAGTGAGATGATGCCACTGCACTCCAGCCTGGGCAACAGAGACTCTGTCTCCTAAAAGAAGACATAAAGGCCGGGCGCGGTGGCTCACGCTTGTAATCCCAGCACTTTGGGAGGCCGAGACGGGCGGATCACGAGGTCAGGAGATCGAGACCATCCTGGCTAACACGGTGAAACCCCGTCTCTACTAAAAATATATTTTAAAAAAATGAGCCGGGTGTGGTGGCGGGTGCCTGTAGTCCCAGCTACACGGGAGGCTGAGGCAGGAGAATGGTGTGAACCCAGGAAGCGGAGCTTGCAGTGAGTGGAGATCGTGCCACTGCACTCCAGCCTGGGTGACAAAGCAAGATTCCATCTCAAAAAAATATAAGACGACGACGACGACATAAAAAAACACTAGGAGGATGCCAGAGCACCTCCACTATTGCTAAGTGGCCATAGATACTTGGTCACTGGATGCTGAGCAGCTTCAGGTGAAGATGGTGGTCACTGAGGCTCAGGTAATCATGGAGAGCTTCTCAGCACCATTCTTTTCAATGCTTACAAAACAAAGCTTAAAAGACGCAATGTAGCTGGGAAGTTAATTGGGGTGAAACTATGGATTACGGCTGAGCCACCGGAAAAATGTACCACAGCTGGGTGGGCTGACCCTGGTGAGCTCACTGCTTTGTCATTGCTGCTGGCCGCCAAGGACAATCATCCCTCAAGGACTATGTGATGCCATTTTCACATTGTCTTACGGTAACTTGACAGGACGTCATATTCCCGGTATTAGATGCCAATATCAGGTTAGAAACTACACTGAAATCTTCCCGTTTCCCACCTCAACTGCATTGAGGTCATACTGACTAGGTGAGCATGTGGCTGTTTTCCAGCCCTGACAAACTAGTGTCAAATAGAAAAGCATAAATATAACCCACCACCATTAAAAAATAAGGCAGTGTCCTAACTTTAATGTACAGAAGTTGATTTTCCAAAATACTGACCAACTCTTAAACATTCTAAAAAAAAAAAAAAAGTTGCTAGGTGTGGTGGCTCACTCAGGCCTGGGATCCCAGCAACCTGGGAGGCCAAGGCAGGCGTATTGCTTGAGCCCAGAAGGTTCGAGACTAGCCTGGACAACATGGCAAAACCCCATTTCTACAAAAGATACAAAACTTAATAGGGCATGGTCGTGCATGCCTGTAGTCCCAGTCACTCAAGGAGGCAGAGGCGGTTGGATCACCTGAGCCTGGGAGGAAGGTGGAGGCCACGGTGAGCCATGATAGTGCCACTGCACTCCAGCCAGGGTGACAAAGTGAGACTGTCTCCAAAAAAAAAAAAAGACAAGAAAAAAAAGGAAAGTATAATTATTCCCTCAATTTACATGGTACTTGTGTACCTGGGAATTCAGTATGTTAAACCATGCAAAAAATACTTTGTATTTACATAAATTGGAGTTAGGAATGAAAACCTGTATACACAAATTATGGAACACCTTAAGACCTGTAACTCATTAGCTTGTTGTATTTGGAATCTAAATGTTGCAGTGGTGGCTCAGGCTTGTAATCCCAGCACTTTCGGGCCCGGCGTGGTGGCTCAAGCCTGTAATCCCAGCACTTTGGGAGGCCAAGATGGCGGGGATCACGAGGTCAGGAGATCAAGACCATCCTGGCTGACACAGTGAAACCCCGTCTCTACTAAAAAGTACAAAAAACTAGCCGGGCGTGGTGGCGGGCGCCTGTAGTCTCAGCTACTCGGGAGGCTGAGGCAGAATGGCGTGAACCTGGGAGGCGGAGCTTGCAGCGAGCTGAGATCCGGCCACTGCGCTCCAGCCTGGGTGACGGAGCCAGACTCCGTCTCAAAAAAAAAAAAAAAAAAAATTCCCAGCACTTTGGGAGTCCGGGACCAGCCTGGGCAACATGGCAAAACCTGTCTCTACCAAAAATCCAAAAATTAGCTGAGCGTGGTGGCACGTGCCTGTAATCCCAGGTACTCAGGAGGCTGAGGGAGGAGAATCACTTGAACCCAGGAGGTGGAGATTGTAGTGAGCCAAGATCGAACCACTGCACTCCAGCCTGAGTGACAGAGTGAGACTCCATTTCGGGGGGGGAAAAAAAAAGTAAATCCATGGCTTGGGATCAGTATCAATCATGTATTAATAAAGCTAAATTCAGTATGAAAATGCACCTACCTAGAAAATCTTGTTTCCCAAAATTCTCTGCAGGTTACTTGAAAAACAGAAAACAGCATAAACTAGAAAACCCTAAAACCATCTTAAAATAACTAAAGACTAACCACTCATTTACATATTTTTATTTGGAAATGTTTATATCAGCACAAGGAAATAATTTTGGAGACACTGGATGTCATTAGTTTATTATAAAAGAGAACTATGGAAATTATTTACATGATGAAAGATTTCAGAACTTCAGTGGAATGGGCAGCTTCATGTTGATGCCATTTCAATAGTGATTTATTTCAGTCTAGGTACTTTCCAAGAATGTCACCATCTCTAAATAGGAAATAATCCTGCAAGTGAATAAACCGTTAGTTAAGACAACTAATCACAAATATTTGACTTCTTTTTAGAATTGTTAAGTTTACACACCTTGTCATCTAGAACTACTTTGGTGCCTCCATACTCTGGCAGAAGAACTTTATCTCCAACTTTCACGCTAACCGGTTGAATCTCTCCACCCTTCAAAAAGGAAGCATGTTTATTAGCAAACATATCTAGTTCACCCAACATAAACAGTTAACTTTTAAATCACTACAACTAATGAAACACACTCACTCAAATTCAATTATATTAAAAATACACTTGGTGGCTAAGTGATACGATTCATACTAGAATTGCAGATCTTCACTCAAAAATACCACTGTAGTTACACTTTTGAAATAATACACAGTGGCTTAAACTAAAACCTGACTCCAATATAAAAGTTCAAGAAAATATTCTGGAAAAGCTAACTTTAGTTAACTAAAGCTAACTTTGTAACTGTTAAATATTAACGTAACTTATCAACTATATGAAATAAACCTGCAACAGTAGCCAGCACCCAGAAAATGCCATATACAAATGGTCATCTTTTCCTTCAACATACAAAAATGTAATATTGTTTTGTTCCCTCCAAAGTACAGATTTGGGGAAAGGGACTGCAGCTAAGTGTCCACTCCCCAAAGTCTTCCTATTCCTTCCTAACTCCATGACAGCTCCTCAATACAGCTTTCCTCCTCAGAAGCAACTGGAACAATGCAGCTAACATTATTTGGCCCCAACGGCATTTAGGCATTTACTGTGTATTTTGGCTGACATCTTTAGAAGCCTAAGGCCTAAATAGTTAACTGAGGAACATCTAAAACAGAGGTGTCCAATCTTTTGGCTTCCCTGGGCCACAGTGGAAGAATTGTGTTGGGCCACACATAAAGTACACTAACATTAACAGTAGCTAATGAGCTTAAAAAAACTTGCAAAAGAAATGTTTTAAGAAAGTTTAGGGATTTGTGTTAGGTGGCATTCAAAGCTGTCCTGGGCTGCAGGTTGGACAAGACTGACCAACCTGTTCCTCGGATAGGTACACCAACTAAGGCCCCAACTGGTTAAGATTAGGGCAATGTCAATGTGTTAGGGGTTAAACGAATAGTCCAAGATTCCTCTCAATTCTTAAATGCCCCCTCATTTTACCTTGAAGCACATCTTTTGTCTTTATTTATTTATTTATAGATACTAGGTCTCACTATGTTGCCCAGACTGGTTTCGAACTCCTGAGCTCAAATGATCCTCTTGCTTTGGCCTCCCAAAATGCAAGGATTATAGGTGTGAGTCACCATGCATAGCCTCTTTTGTCTTATTAAAAATTTAGAATGTTAAGGCAAACACTGATCATACTAGGCTACCAAATTGCTATTGAAGGCTTTTTTCTTTTTGAGACGGAGTCTTGCCCTGTCGCACAGGCTGGAATGCAGTGGCGGGATCTCGGCTCCCTGCAACCTCCGCCTCCAGGGTTCAAATGATTCTCCTGCCTCAGCCTCCCCAGTAGCTGGGATTACAGGCGGATGCCAACACACCCGGCTAATTTTTCTATCTTTAGTAGAGACAGGGTTTCACCATGTTGGTCAGGCTGGTCTTGAACTCCTGACCTTGTGATCCGCCCACTTCGGCCTCCCAAAGTGTTGGGATTACAGGCGTGAGCCACAGCGCCCGGAGTATTGAAGACAATTTTTAATTATCCGAAACTATCACAAAATAAACATCATAGCATTGGTCATATAAAATAAGCAACTTTATATTAGTCATTTCCCTTTAAGAAACAGATTAGAACCAAAGCAGTTAATGATCTTGGACATGACATAAATTCTACCTAATAGGAGACTTTTAATACTCCAGAATTACTCCTTTTCCCTCCACTGCACACTATAAAAAAAATAGTTCCACCGCAGCCCCCATTTACCTTTCCTTTAGAACCCGATCCAACAGCGACTACTGTTGCTTGCAATACTTTTCCTTGAGATTTTTCTGGAAGCATAATGCCTCCTTTGGTTACAGTTTCAGCAGCACTCCTTTCAACCAATACTCGGTCAAAGAGTGGAAGAAACTTTCTAAACGCTTGTCCTGCCTGTAGGAAGAGAAATGTTTTGAAACAAAAACTAAATGTAATCATATTATCAACAGGCAACGCCACCGTGTTGTATACATCTCAACACGTTTTGGCTTCGAAAGTTAACACCAAACCTCAGCTTATTCGTTAAGGAAACGCATTTGAATGTACTAACCAATATTCCAAGTTTAATTCCCGATTCCTTACATCTGTTAAGGGTCGTTGTCGCTCCTCTGGTGAGCAACCAGACCAGCTTTAAGGTCAACCTTAGTTTATTCCAAGGTCAAATGTTTTCCTTCTTCAGGGTTTTCCAGAAATTTTCAAGAAACGCTGGGTCAATCTCCCTGCCTGGCACCATGCTTTTTACCCAAGATATTACACATCCACAAAAGCCCTGCAGAGCAGGTGGGACGCTGCGCTTGCATCCGGGTTCCCGCCCCCTGCCTTACACACCGCAGCACACGCGCGTGCAAAGAGCCCCCGGAGAAGAAAAGGGTCGGGCAGGCCTTGCCGCTCCAAGGTGCCGGCGGGCGCTGGTCACTGAGTGGCCACCAATCCCTCCCGCCTAACCCAACAAAAGAGGGGCGTCAGTGATCCCCGTACGCCTCAGACAGGCCCGGGCCTGCAGGCTTCGGTGCCACGCGGGACTCACCATGACTCCCTCCGCCTCAGACTCGTACTCTGCTGTAGTGTAGCGCCGCAAGGAGAGACTCGCGGTGCAGCCCTAGCGACACGTGAAAAACCCGCCCAGCGCGCAGGCGCGCTCGCCCCAACCCCCGCCGCTAGCCCCCTCGCCCCTCCCCGCGAGAAAGGGCGGTCGCCCCGACGCGCGCCGCGATTCGCCCCAAGGGCCCTGCGCAGGCCGCTGACGCGAAGACTCGGAGGCGGAAGAAAAGAGGAGCTGTTTCTAGGCTTTTCTAGGCGCCCAGCCGAGGTGAAAGAACTACCCCTTCGTCCCCTCCCGGAAATGACGCGATTTTACCCTTGACCCGTAGGGAGCGCGGCACTTTCCGGAAAGTTCTGGAACTGAGCGCGGCCCGGGAACTAGCCTAAGCCGGCGGGAGAGGGCTGAGCGCGCTAGCACACCCTGCGCGGGTAGGGAGGGGCGGGGCTCGCGCGCAGGGTGTGCAGATTGCAGGGGCCCGGCTGACGGGAAGGGGGTGGGAGCTGCCTGCACACGTGGTGCCCTGGGGCGGGGGGAGAGGCGGAGGGAGGGGACACGGGCTCATTGCCGTGTGCGCCCTGCACTCTGTCCCTCACTCGCCGCCGACGACTTGTCTCGCAGCGCGCACGCCCCGCCGCCGCCCCGCAGGTATGCGGCCTTCCCACGCCGCCTTCCCCGGCGCCTGCGACCCCCAAGTGGGCCTTCCTCCTCTGCGGTCCTGCTGGAGGATGCGGGCGACGACAACGTGGAGTTCTGCACCGCACCGCAGGCCCAGGCCCACGGGTCCAGGCCTCCCGGGTCCATGCGGGTTCCATCACGTGCGACGCGGATCCTGGACCTCGGCTGGGCGCAGGAGGGACAACTCACGGGGATTGAATTTGGGGGATTGTAGCCACTTAGGCCCGCTGGTGCAACCCGCGCCTGGTCGAGTTCAGGGAACCGGGGAGGGTGGTGTACGCGAGGGAACCGCTTTTTTCCCCCGCAGGCAGCTGGGATACCGCGCCTTCACTCTTGACCTTGCTGGGGGCGTTCGGAAAGAAGGACACGTGGGCCCGCGCCGAGTGGACCGGGTCGCCGCCCCCAGCATCGCGGCCTTGCTGGCTGCTCTGATACAGTAGCCTTGGGTGGATCCATGGAGATACTTTGCTGAGCTGCTTTTTGCACCGTCAGGAATACTTTCAGCTTCCCTGGTTACTGGGATTTGTAACTTGCCTCTCTCCGGCTGACTTGGTTTCTCAGGGGCCACAGTTGGAGTGGGTCTGCCCACAAGGCCGTTTTCGCGGTGAAAGATTAACTTGTTTTTGGCGGCAGGGATAGGTGGCCGTGGGGAAGGAGCTGCATGTGCTTTGTGCTAGTGCTATAGGTCAGGCGCCGGGGCGGCTCTTTAGCTTGCGCTAGTGGCTGATGTTCCGAAGCTGCGGCGCCTTCCATCATTCAGGTGTAGTGGCTGGCAGAGGTCAGCCAGGCTCACCATCTCACGTTGCTTGCTCTGTTGCACAGGTGCGCATGTTTGTGCTGCAGCGCAGCATAGGTGGTAGTACTGATTATCTATTTGCTTCCATCCCCAGAAATGCTTCGGTTACCCACAGTCTTTCGCCAGATGAGACCGGTGTCCAGAGTACTGGCTCCTCATCTCACTCGGGCTTATGCCAAAGATGTAAAATTTGGTGCGGATGCCCGAGCCTTAATGCTTCAAGGTGTAGACCTTTTAGCCGATGCTGTGGCCGTTACAATGGGGCCAAAGGTATCAGTATTTTTATTTTATTATAATTATGGTAGTATTAATAGCATTTTGCTCACAAATAGTCGCACTGAACTATTGAACAGTACTTTCGTATCCATTTTTGAGAACTCAGTTTACATGTAAGAATTCTGAAGTATTGGTTAACTTTTTTTTTTCTTAGACATGATCTTAAAGCTTAAACTGCTTCAGCCAGATTTTCGAAACTAGTTTGTTCAATGTGTGATGTAATCGGGTAGTAACATAGCTCAAGATGGATTCTTAAACTCGAGGTAGAATTTTGCTTGCCTAAGTTAAAATTTGGATCCTTTCTGAGTAGTTCATGCCAAGTGTAGAGAGAAGAGTTTAACTTATCTTCCATAATCCTTCAGGTATATGCTTGTAGGTGCTAAATTTTTTTTTTTTTTTTGGTTTATTGTAAAATGTACACAACATAAAATTACCATTAAGTGTGCACTTTGGGGACATGGGGACATTAATTACATTTATGTTGTGCAGTCATCACCACCATCCATCTCCAAAACTTTTTATATGGGAAAATTGTAATTTTGTACTCATTATACAGTAGCTTCCCATTCTCTCTTCCCATTCTCCTTTCCCATAGCACCTCAAGATGCTAGTTTTACCCATCGGTTTTCTGCTGTTCTCTTGTTCCGAAGCATATTTAAAATAAGTCTCATTTAATAGGGGTAATATTTTGAGGGGGGCTTTGAAGGTGGTGTGCGGTCAAGTGGTGCTTCATTTCAGTTTGAAGACAGTTCAGATATCAAGTGATCCAAACAACTGCATAAAACACAACATTTGCACACCTCACGAATAGAAAGTAGCAGCTTTAGTTCAAATCCAAAGGATGGCCAATAACTGTGTCATGGTTGAAGTTGTATGTTGAGTGAACTTGGAAGAGCACACTACTTGCCTTGATGGTTAATATTTTAAACGAATTTTAAAACAAGTCACATTGCTTTAAAAGATAACAGGCACTAACTAAAACTTAGGTATAAGTGATAGGAAGATTGTTTTATTCTTTGTCTTGTGTTCTTGTTCATTTTATAAGATGACAAATTTTAGTCCCTAGTATTTTAATCTTCTAAATTACTTAGTTCAAAATTATGCTCTTGGCAGAGAAACAGGTCATTTTGTCTGTAGACAAAGAATGTCGATAAACTTGCCCTTGAGATTCATGCTGCAAGACTGATAAAAATGACACAACTTATGTGGAGACTTTGAAGTAGTTGCTTTATTATGAAGACTGCTCATTTTTTAAAATATAAGTAATCCTTAGGGTATGTGTGATCCTGTTACATTTTTTTTCTTCTAGGGAAGAACAGTGATTATTGAGCAGAGCTGGGGAAGTCCCAAAGTAACAAAAGATGGTGTGACTGTTGCAAAGTCAATTGACTTAAAGGATAAATATAAAAACATTGGAGCTAAACTTGTTCAAGATGTTGCCAATAACACAAATGAAGAGGCTGGGGATGGCACTACCACTGCTACTGTACTGGCACGCTCTATAGCCAAGGAAGGCTTCGAGAAGATTAGCAAAGGTGCTAATCCCGTGGAAATCAGGAGAGGTAGGAATGTCTATTGTCACTACAGTGTTCTAAACTTCAGTGTGCTTTAAGGCATTGATTCCTTGGAGCTAAGGAGAGTGTCTGTTACTTTAGGAAATTGATCCTTCTCTCATTCCTCTTGGCCTGGAGAAATCTTAAACTGGGGTTTCCTTTAGCAAGTAGTGATTGAATGCCTGGCTGTATGGTGGGTAGATACTGTTAGGTAATTTTGATGTTTTACTTAGTTGGTTTCTTTTGTTTTTAGAGACAGGGTCTTGCTCTGTAGCCTAGGCTGGACTGCACTGGAACTCCTGGACTCAAGCAATCCTCCTGCTTCAGCCTCCAAGTAGCTGGGACTACTACAGGCACTCACCACCATTCCTGGCTAATTTTTAGTTTAGTTTTGTAGAAAGTAAGACTGAATACACTGGATCATTCAGAATGTCAGAAAGTAATGTTTTCCTCAGTTTATTTTTTTTTATTTTTTTGAGACAGTCTCGCTCTGTCCCCCAGGCTGGAGTACTGTGGCGTGATCTATGCTTACTGCAAGCTCCGCCTCCCAGGTTCACGCCTCCCGAGTGAACCTCCTGCCTCAGCCTCCCGAGTAGCTGGGACTACAGGTGCCCACCACCATGCCCGGCTAATTTTCTTTATTTTTTAGTAGAGATGGGGTTTCACCGTGTTAGCCAGGATGGTCTCGATCTCCTGACCTCGTGATCTGCCTGCCTCGGCCTCCCAAAGTGCTGGGATTACAGGCATGAGCCACCGCGCCCGGCCCATTAGTTTATTTTTTCTTAATAGCCCACACCGTGTTATTGGTTTGTGTTTTGTTAGTGCTTGTAACTGGAGTGCAACTTAATTAACAGATTTGCTCCTCAGCATGAACTTCATGGCAGTGTAGACTTAAATTCTAGTCCCATCTTTGTCATTTATTAGCTGTGTGCTAAGACTTGGTTTTCCTATCAGCAGAATTGCTGTGTATATCCAGGGTATGTTAGGGTTGAAACCAGGAACCCTCTTGTGAGTGAAGGTGGGGGAGCTATTGATAATTTTTTGTCAGAATTGGCATACTAATGTATCATTACCTCATATATTTCAATGTTTATGAACCAAGTGACTACACTTCACTAAAAGCAATTTTACTGTAAATCACTAACAAGTATTAAGGTTATGAAGAGGACTTCCCCACACCTTGCATTGGATTTTTTTTGAAGTAACATTTCTCAAACAACAAGAGAGCTAGCACTACTCCCAGTTGAGCAAAATAGGACTGTTAAGAGTGATGTAAAACAAAAATATTTTGTTACTTCATAATACATACTAAATTGAGGGGTTTTCAGATAATTGACTCCTGCAGAGGCATAGTCACAACAGATTCCTATCACTTAAGAACTATACTTCTTGTTGAAAATAAGGGAGTGTTAACCATTTTGGTCCTTTTTTGCATCATCTAATGGACATGAGAAGTGTTGGGGACCCTACTGAAAACAGGCAGCATGATTGAGTTAGGAATAATTTGCATAGGATGAGTTCAATGGTGAGACTCTTGAAACTATACACATCTACCTTGTTTTAGTCCTATTTTCAAAATTTTGGCATTGTGAGATTTTATTTACTGTGTGAACCTAAAGTTACTGTTTAAGTACATGCCATGCAACTCTGTGTTATTAAGAAGCACTGTCTCAGAAGCTGTGTGTAAATTTAATATTAAGGCACTAAAGACCAAGCATAGGTACATGCCTGTAATCCCAGCTACATGGGAAGCTGAGGTGGGAGGATCACTTGAGCCCAGGAGTTCAAGACCAGCTTTGGCAACATAGCGAGACTTTGTCTACAAAAATAAAACGAGCTGAGCACGGTGGCTTGAGCCTGTGGTCTCAGCTGCTCCCTTGAGCCCAGGGTGTCAGGGCTTCAGTGAGCCGTGATCTGTGCTACTGCACTCCAGCCTGGGCGACAGAAGAAGGCCCTGTCTCAAAAAAAATAATAAAAATAAATTTAAGGCATTAAAATATTTGTAACAAATCTCAAGATTTCTACTTGACTTAGAAGCCATGAGAGAAATAAACATTGTAATGACATATTGTTGAACTAGGTGTGATGTTAGCTGTTGATGCTGTAATTGCTGAACTTAAAAAGCAGTCTAAACCTGTGACCACCCCTGAAGAAATTGCACAGGTAAGGACTTAACATGTTATATGTGTTTTTAAAAAAATTTAATGGCATGTGTAATTTTTTTTTCCTTGATCACACCAATGTCAGAATAACAATACTATGCAATCATCAATATTAGAATCATTGTTTCTTACTGCTAAAACCTTTGAAAAGAATAGTGACCATAATGGTTGTCATTTAGTTCTGCATGTGGTTGTCATTTTATTTATTTATTTATTTATTTATTTATTTTTTGAGACCGAGTCTCACTCTGTCACACAGGCTGGAGTACAGTGGCCAGATCTCAGCTCACTGCAAGCTCCGCCTCCCGGGTTTAGGCCATTCTCCTGCCTCAGCCTCCCGAATAGCTGGGACTACAGGCGCCCACCGCCACGCCCGGCTAATTCTTTGTATTTTTAGTAGAGATGGGGTTTCACCGTGTTAGCCAGGATGGTCTCGATCTCCTGACCTCGTGATCCGCCCGTTGAAATTACGAAGGCATGAAGTTTGATCGAGGTTATATTTCTCCATACTTTATTATACATCAAAAGGTAAGAACAAATCATAACTGAATAATTATTATTATTTTTTATTATTTTAGGCAGAGCCTCATTTTCTATTTTTTTTTTTTTTTTTTTTTGAGATGGAGTCTTGCTGTTCACCCGGGCTGGAGTGCCAGTGGTCGGATCTCAGCTCCATGCAAGCTCTGCCCTCCCGGTTTACGCCATTCTCTCCTGCGCCTCCCGAGTAGCTGGGACTACAGGCGCCTGCCACCTCGCCCGGCTAGTTTTTGTTATTTTTAGTAGAGACGGGTGTTCACCGTGTTAGCCAGGATGGTCTCGATCTCCTGACCTCGTGATCCGCCCGTCTCGGCCTCCCAAAGTGCTTGGGATTACAGGCTTGAGCCACGCGCCCAGCTGAGTCTCATTTTCTGTGCCCAGGCTGGAGTGCAGTGGCGAGATGCAGTGGCGCATTGCTCACTGCAACCTCCCGCCTCCTGGGTTCGAGTGATCTTCCTGCCTCAGTCTCCCGAGCAGCTGGGATTACAGGCACATGCCACCATGCCAACCTGATTTTTGTGATTTTTAGTAGAGATGGGGTTTCACCAATCGGCCAGGCTGGTCTCTTAACTCCTGACTCAGGTGATCCACCTGCCTTGGCCCTCCCAAAGTGCTGGGATGACAGG